TGCTCCAATACCTTGTACTGAGATTAGTTCAGATGTTAATAGTAAGTACATCAACACATGCAGTGAATATTAATTAATGTGTATATGTGTATAGGTAAAGTAGTAGTTTCCACTGGTATAGTAGAGAATATGGCTTATGCTGGACTGGTTTATTATGAGGAGAAAAGAGCTGAAGACTTGGTGACATTTGCTGCTGCTAAAGATCTCAATGCACTGCTTGAGGTACCTCTGCTTATATTCTGTAATTATAGTGACTTTATTTGTAGTTTATTAAAAAAGACTGTTCTCATGCTGAAAGAGGACAAAATATTCTATTTCGTTTCAAAGATTATAATGGATATATTGAATTAAAGTTTGATGCACCTCAAAAGAAACCATTCACTGGTTGGAGTATTGAGCCTCACATGGACTCATGCAAAGTAAGAAGGAATGAGCTGCTCCGTATGTACTGACATCATGTATATTAATAGTTTCTACGTTGTGATGTTGATAAGTTTGGTGAAGCTAATTATCCTCTTCCTTCCACTTGTCTAATATCAGTATATGGGTCACCTGATGCTGTACCATCATTGCACTATTCTATACCACTGGATGGAGTGGCTGATCCTAAGACATTATTCATTCATCGATCACTGAGAACTACTCCTTCATTAACAAGTAATAGATAAATCATTTCAATTGTTTATTTATTTAATATTAATCAGATCCTACTACCTCCTCCTCCTCCTCTAATGTAGTACATGGTTCAACGTCAGTATCAGGAGCTAGTAAGTTGATACATAATAACACACTAATCACTGAATTTGTATCATTAATAGGTACATTTAGATCTGATATTGCTCATAGAGTAATGACAGAATGTACTGGAATGATAAAGGAAAGGCTTGAGCTAAATACATTAGTACAGAAGCTACTTGAGAAGAGGGTAATAAATGAAAGACAAAAGAATCAAATTACTGATCAACACTGTGGATTGACTGCTGATCAAAGGATCGACAAGTTACTTAGTTTAGTTAGAGTATCCATTCAAATGAACGGCCAAGTATTTCATTTGTTTCTAGAAATAATTAAACAAGAGAACACAATAATAACTGATAGTCTAGCACAAACACTATTGGACAATTATAAAAGATTATTACAATAATAATAATATACATTTTTGCTCTTACGTTGCATTCTTTGTTAATTTTATTTTTTAAGAGCTTTGATTACACGATACATTAATGGTGTTATACAGTCTGCCATCTTGTACTATAATAATTTAATTTATGCAGAAGTAATTTTTGAAACTTGAGAGATCTGCAAAATTTACAGCCCTAGAAAATTTCACACTACATGTATATGGTAGCTCAATTCAATATTTTCAATAAATGTACATGTATTTGTTGGTGGCTATTTTTAGTAACGTGTTATGTCGTTTTGTATCTATTTTTAGCAAAAAGCGAAGCAGAGTGAAGTACAAGTTCAGCAGATGCAGTCATTGCAATGGGGCAGCCAACCAGCAAAGAGCACTACTACTCATGAGCCGGTGAGATACATGTATGCATGTACATGTACAATAAATTATTATTATTATTACAGTATGTCCTCGATTATCCGTATCTCTTTTATCCGAACCCTCGTTTATCCGAACGCATGGCTGTCTCTAATGCACATGCTCAGACTAGATAGTTAATTAATTAATAACCGGTTAAAATGACTACTACAGCAAAGAGCTTAAACAAGAGACAAACCATTAAAGAGAAGCTTAAGCTGCTGTGCGTGTTAAAGAAAGAAAATTCATGGACATTTCTTTGAAAGAAGTATAGGATAGGTCGGTCTACTGTATTCTGTACTGCATTTCGCTTACCTTATAGCGAGAAAAGTTGGCAGCGCTTTATTTTGGCAATTTTGCTGTAAAAATTAATTGGTGGTTTTTAATTTGGCAATTTTTGTGTAGATGTGCATTACTGAGCATGCGCATTAATGATTGGCAATTCCGCTTGCAAACCGCCAATCGCCAAA